GGATGTGTGAGGAGGGGAGGAAAGCGAGCTAGGCCCTTGTTGTGAGTGTGGCCGAAGCATGTGAAGGTGGAATGGGATGAGGCATTGCGCCGCGTGGTGGAGGTCGTGCTTGCACAGCCGGTCCACTCGGTGCCGCCAAGAGGGGTTGCCACCCGCTGCCCCGAGCTGCGCCTTCCCCTCAGCTGCCGTCTCCTCACAGAAGGGGGGAAGCTGTCCTGGGGGAAGGCACTGGGAGGAGGGCAAGCCAAGGGGGTTCGGAAATCCAGGCTTCAAATGTAAGGGACAGCGAAAGAGCTGAAAAAGAAATGACTGGAAAAACAGACGGGATGGCCGCAGGGAGCGGCCCCGTGCGGGAGCAGCCCGAGCCACGGGTGCGCTTATGGGGCGCAGCGCTGGACCAGAGGCCCCTGGCGCTCAAAGGCGCTGCTGACCAAGCGTAATTCTCAAATCAGCCTTCTCAGCCAAATCCCCTGCCATGCTGCGGGCCAGTTCTCCCTGTGTGGATTTACATTTCTCAAGACTGATCTGTCTAAAGAAGGCTTTTCCGGTATAACTTTCAGAGCTGAGGAAAAACAGCTGAAGTAGCCGTAAGGGCTGTATTTCCCAGTCTGCCGCCAGCAGATGGATGATGTATCCGTGGTCCCTCCGGCACTGCCCGCAGCTGGACTGCATGATGAGTCCTCACCCAGCGCGTACCGATTGCTGTGCGTGGAGTGTACAGACTTGCGAGTCTCATCAGATCATGCCCTTAATTTGCATGGCAGAACTGCATTACTTTCCTGCCTGATTCCTCTTCGCAACCACAGATGAGGACGCTGCATTTATCCATTGCCTTGCATAACTTCCATCTGTATTGAGACAGGATACACTTTTGCCTGGAGAGGTGAGTAAGCACAGTGGAGTGTAGGCATGACAATATGGTGGTAGTTGCCATGCTTTTGACCATAAGTACGCGTAGATTCAGTCACTGTGATGATAGCAACCTTTCTCTCGCCTAACACCTACAGTAAAAAGCATCCAAGCGTTCACAGACAATCTATAATGAGTCGATTTGGGAAACCTTTGGGCTTTTGCATTATTCCTTGAGTATCACTTGACTATCTATGGGTGGCATGGATGTAGAAATAATGTTCTCAGTAGCAAATGGGGGAAGTTACGTTATACGACCAAGCTGTGTGATTAGTTATCTAGCAGAAAAACTCAGATGATAACTATTGCTTGAAGGAATTCTGAGGCATTTGTTAAATCCCAATGTGACATATCCCTTTTGTTTAATACCTGCAACTAATTTCATGTTGTAAATCTTTTTTTAAAAAATGGTATGTCAGAACAGCGCTACTCAATACAACAGTAACAGTTTTAATAGAACTCCTACTCCACATTTACAAGTGAGCTGGATTTCAGATGCACAGCAGCTTTGAGACAGCATGTCTCCAAGTTCAAAACATGTTTCTTTCTGTCTCAGTGATGGTTCCTTTTAAAAATTAGTCATGCTGTGTTGCACAGACATGCTAGTGGTTGAGTTGCACAAGAGCAACAGAAAGTTTGAGATTTCAGATCTTTTGCCAGCTGAGACTCCAGGAAGGTTTTACAGGAACGTAACACATGAAAAAGTAGATACACAGAACAGTCACCCTGTGTGTTATCATTGTTATTTTATTGCAGTAACACCCACATGCCCCACCCCAGGTGAAGATTCCAGCGTGTCTGAAACTGTGAATGTAGAAAGACAGTTCCACACATCGGGTTTATAAGCTGTATGTGCTACACAAAGAGGAGAAGAGGAAATATTATCAGTTGTATTCACCAATGCATAATCACTCTTGGAAAAGATCCTGTTTCAGGTTGGTATTCAGTATTTACCTGTGTTTACCAAGTTTACCTATGTAGTCCTGTGAAAACATGCGACTTGCCCAAGATCAGATCTGGCAGGAGGTCCCTGACACAGCTGGGAACTAAACTGTAATCTCTTTACGAGTTCCTGTCCAGCCCTTTTATTGCAAAAACCCAACAGAGATGGATATTATGTTATCCAACACTTCATGATTGCAAGCAAGAATTAGACTAAACCCATCCTCTCAAAAAGTACATCTGTTTCCCCTGAGGAAAAAGAGACGCTCCATATATTATCAATATTGGCATATTTATGGCACACTGTGTAACGTTTCTCATATTGTTTGATTACTTTTTATTCCTTTTGCGACCAGAATAGTTTTATTTAAGCAAAATAAGAGAAAAAAAGTCTTTATAGGAAATTGTTCACTGAGTGATAAAATTACTGAGATCTATTTGCAGAACATACCCTTTGAACCTGGCAGAGAAACTTGTCTCCCTAAAGAACAAGGAGGAAAATGTGCTTCCTAGTTTTGTTTTCTGTACGCTTTGGTGCTTCTATGATTACACTTCAATGATTAGATTTTTTTTTCAGTTTACACCAGTTTAACGGCAGACAATTTGTCCCAGGACTTGACTGCACAAGTGAAAAATATTCTTTATATAAGGTCTCTCTCTTTAATCTTACATTACCAGAAAAGCACTAGAGTTCAGATATCAACACTGACAGGACAAGAATATTTTCTAGTCCACTGTGAGCATCATCTGTAGTAGCAAAGCCAGCATAAGTAGATCGTAATAATAAAGGATACTGACTCTGGGTCTAGAGATTCCAGTTTGACCTTTATGTGTTCTGTTCCTTCAGTGCACCAGAAGCATCATAAAACTTCCATTTAACCTCTTGCTAGACACAAAGGCTAGGGCTTTTCTCACTACACATTTGCAATGAGTAATGGAGATGTTAGTCAACATACTAAATCTTAAGGCACATATGCATTGCCCACTTCTCCCATTTTTCTGAAATCTGTTGATCTTGTTTCGAGCCAAATGATGTATCCTGACGCATGAAGCACACTCTGCACGGTCTACATAATCTCCTTTGCCTGAGGCAGGAGGGTGGAGTGTTTTTATGTGCCCAACCACTAACTGCTGCAGAAATTTCCAAAGTGCTACCCACTTCAGCTTGGGCCTAGGGCTGTGTTTTTGCTGGCTGCAAAGTTCTGAATAATATTTGCTTCTCAGAAAGTGTTCTGACTTGTTTATAGCATGTAAATATATCAAAGGAAGGGCTTTATAGACCAGATTCATAGAGTAAACCAGTTTAGGCTACATCAGAACTTGACCTTAGGAGACAGAGTCTGCTCTCATAATTATGTAAATGGCCAATAAATACTTTGAAGTCACTGGAATTACATCAGCATAAAACTAAAACAAAAGTAAAATTTAATTTTCCTGCCTTGCGTCTGGAGCTTGCTTAGACTTTCCCTCATTTTTTTACTTCGATTTTCCAGGTCTTCTAAAGAAAAACTGACAATTTATTGCAGCTGAGAGGTGCTGCATTTTCCCATTACAAAGGATAACGTAAGAGCCAGCTAAGAGGGGCTTCCTAGTTTTCACTGCTGCATGTGAGAACACCGAAGTGGGTGAGGCGCAGTGCTAATAACAGGGAACAACAGAAGACTGTCTTTATTTTTATGTCTAGTTGTGGGGTTTTCTCTGATACAGTCATGCAAAAATTACAGAGGTGTTTGAAGTCTTTACAAGACTGTAGCAGACAGCGAAAGGAAACAATAAACATACCTTCAGGGTTCTCATTTTTGGTGGAGAACTGATTGATCGTTATTTTAAGAAAATTCAAACCTGTTTAATCTCAGCCCCTTGCCCAAACTAATCTCTGATACAACTTTTGTCATCTATGATGGTCTGAGCGTATTTTTGTGTTAAAGATGCATGGTAGATGTTGCTCTTCTTGAGGAACATGCAACCTTTTGCACAGTAGTATTCACTAAAGGAGAATGTTAAATTGGGCTTGCTTTTATGTCCTGGTTAAAAACTCTTATCTCAGTTTTTAGAACGGCATTGGAGGGGAGTAGTTCTTGGAGGAAGTATGGGTGAAATCTAACTTAGATTGGGTGTGTTCACTTCCATGATCCTTCAGGGTTAATAACAGAGGCTCTTGCAGCTTCTTCAGCCTTTACTGCAGAAAAATCTTGCAGGCTCCTTAGTTAATGACAGAGCAGAATCTTCTCTGAGAGGACAATGAGAC